GCTCGCCATTCCCTACGTGAAAAACGTTTCAGAGGCGACTGCACGAATCTTAGAACCTTCTGGGATCGGAGTGGCGCGTAAACCAGATTTCACAATCAGATAGCAAATAATGAAGCCCACAGACCCACCGCCAGCAACCGAGCAATCAGCCGTGGTCTACAGCATATCATGCCAAAATTGCGATTTGAGGTATGTCGGGGAAACGGGCAAGCTCCTGGGCACAAGATTGCACAAACACCAACTTGCAATCAATCGCAAAGACAAGCTGTCTTTGGTCTATGGTCACGTGCAGCAGCTGAACCACAATTTCGCCTTTGAAAATGCGAGGGTGATCGGCAAGGCCTATGAGAAAATAGCCAGATTAGTGCTGGAACGTTGGTCCTCGACGGGCACACTAAACCGAGCCATCGATTTAAATCTCGTCTACCAAGGTCTCCGTATTAGGCTCAAATCCGCTCAGAACGGGGCAAAAGAAGTTACACAGGGCCGACAGCCAACACCCACGAAGGAAGGAAGCAGCAGCGATCGGGAGTCGCATGGCTGGCGCAAAACACTTTCTCACATAGTCGACCGTAAAGCTGACAGCGCTGCAAGCGAACACCAACAGCCGATCGATCCACGGCCTGACGAGAGGAGGGCCGACGACCAAGTCACACGGGGCTAACAGCTAACACCCACGGGGGAGGAAGGCAGCGGCGACAGAATTATCTGACCTGCGCAGCGTGCTTTTTCATGCACGCAAACGTGGAGCCGGCAGGGTTGCGAGCAAAAACCAACGGCTGATCGATCGAACACCTGACAAGGAGGAGGACGGCGCCGCGGCAACTACGATAGTGACGCAGGGCAGAAAGGAGACGCGAACCCACCATTGGCCGGCAGCAAACACGTAGGAGCCAACCGGTGGCCAGCAGGCAGGCGAACGCACATGCAGGGAACACGAGTACAACACAATATCGGCGGCAAGGCGATTTCACTCAAGGCCCACGGAAAAGTAAGCACGGTACTCTGACGATGGAAGCGAGTGTGCTTTTGAAACGCCAGTCCAAATATAATTTGGCCCACGAACCCGCCCTCTTTTCTTCTTCTTAGGGAGACGATGAA